TACACAGAGAAAAGGGGAAAAAAGAATGCTACTGGTGTAAGCCGGATGAGCTACCGGTAACGAGTAGGCATCGTTCCGGTAAGCTACCAGCCGGCTACTGTGCATCAAAAAAATTACTATGCAAAATTATATAAGGCTAAATAATGAGATCGTGATTGGAGGGGGAGGCTAAGAGGGATGGGGTGGGACAAAGAAACTCACAGCACGAACGCCACTGAGGTCGGCTCCTAGCCATATCAGCAAGTGTGTCCAACCAAACTTGTTCATTGTCTTTCGGACCCCAACCAGGGAGCCGAGAAGTTCCAACCTAGGCCAGCTCAGAAGTGAGGGCCTTCATTCCTCTCGACCAAGTCATCGCTTGGCCACCCCTACTCTTCTTCCATCCACACCCCCGGCGCGCAAACAACGCACGTCGCGGAAGTCGGTGGGCTGGCATGCGTAACATGTGGCCGAGCCATCGGAGCCTGGTGCGTGAAATGACGGTGCTGAGCGGTTCATTTCTTTTCCTATGCCGTAAACAAGACGTCGAACACGCTCGTTGCTCACGCGGTGTTCCCACCAGATGTGAGCTAAATTACGAAGGCACCGGTGGTCGAACGTAACTAGCCTCTTCAGGTCCGCTGCTTTAAGCGGCCAGATTTCACAATCGTACAGTAGGGATGAAACCTAGACGCTCATGCAGAGGAGCATGATCTCTTCCCGACCGTCAATCTGTGATCTTACTTAGCACCCTGTGAAGGCTTGGATCTCCACGCGCTGCGTGGATCTATTTGACCGCCGCAGGAATATGTCGGCGGAGTCTAATCAAGATGAAGTGCGCCGTTCTGTCAGCGGACAGCTCAAACAAATCCTACGCAGCACCCATAATAGTAGTAGTAATCTCAACAGTCTATCAACTAGATACAGAGCCAAGCAGCACACATGAAGTCTGCTGATCCCCACGTGCTTCGGAAATGAAGGCCGCCGCCCTCTATGGCAATACTCGCAAGCTCTTCCAGCTCATTCGATCCACTGGCCACAGAAAGACCGGTGCCAGTGAGACTATATGCGAAGCGGATGGTTCGCCGATTGTCAACTTACAGAGACGGTTGGACCGATGGGCCGAACATTTTCATTCGCAGTTCAATTGGCCCTCACCGTCCACTGATTTGCCCGGCGAATCCACCTGCCCGCCCTGGGTTGTCACACTTGATGCACCCAGCGAAGCGGTAGTTCGTTTGGCGATCCGACACCTAAGACGATTCAAGGCTGCTGGCTCAGACGGACTTCCTCCGGAGCTGTTCAAGTATGGAGACACAGTTATCATTAGCCAGCTTGCCACATAGTTCTCAAAAATCTGGCCTGAAGGAAAGGTGTCATTTTCCTAGGGCGAGTCAGTTATTGTCCAGATTTTTAAGATGTTAGCACTTCATGCATTAAACACCGGGGTATTAGTCTCATTTCGGTTGCCATTAAGCTATTTTGATCCATTATACTCAGTAGACCGTCTCCTAATCGCGAATCGCAGTACCGAGAAGAACAGCTGGATTCCGATCTGACCACGGGTGTGTGGATCAGATATCCACATTCCGTCAAATCCAGGAACACCGCCATCTTTACCAGAGATCTAACATCGTTGCATTCCCGTACATCCGTACCGCATTCCACTCGGTTGATCGACCTGCACTATGGCGTTGTTTGCTAAGGAACGGTGTCCCAGAAAAGCACACTGCCATCCTACGCGCACTGTATTTCCAAATCTTCGGCAGAGTGAGGGTGTATGGCAGGCTTTTGTCATCCTTCGCTGTCAATAGCGGTGTACGACAGGTCTGTACTATGCCCCTTCCTCTACAATTTTTCGACTGAAGATGTCCTGTAAATAGTTCTAGACGGTTACCAAAATTTTGGTCTGCAGCTATTACCGAGTAAGCGAGCAACCGACTTAGAGTATGCTGATGATATCGCCTTACTTGGTGACGACTTACAGAGCATGCAAATAATTCTAGACCGTTTGGCGATTGAGGGATCTAGGTACGAGATGTGCTTTGCCCCCTCAAAGTGTAAATTGCTGCTTCAGGATTGGCAGTCCACCGTTCCGGAGCTCACTACTAAAGGTGCCCGGCTTGAACAAGTGGACAGCTTTGTCTACCTTGGGCAGCTGTGCGTGTGCTGGTTGTGCCATAGAAAGGAAGTTTCTCTTAGCATCACCAAAGCTCGTTCGGCATTTGTCAACCTGCAGCACTTGTGGCGTCGTCGGGATGTCTCCCTCGTGGTAAAGAATCGTGTTCACAATGTCACCGTTCAGACGGTGTTGCTATATAGAAGCGAGACATGGCCAGTTCGCGTAGACGATATACCCCGGCTCTCGGCTTTCGACAACGGGTGCTTGAGGAGGATTGGTCGTGTGTGGTGGCAACAACACATCTGCAACAGTGAAGCCAGACATCGTGTCATAGGGAATGCGAGTATCCCAGTCAATAAGTTGGTTTTGCTGCGCCAGTTAAGATGGCTCGGTCACGTCCTGCGTATGTCAGTTGAGCGTTTGCCCTATTGCGGTCTGTTTGCTTGCACAGGACTTGACTGGGAGAGACCACGGGGTGGTTTCCCGTCCACCTGGCGACAGCAAACGAAATCGTTGACTTCTCGTCTTGCCACCATTGGATTCACACGTCTGTTTGGTTGGGGATCAAAGGACGACGAGCGCCGATGGCTGCAAATAATTCAGGATATGACTCATAATTGAAACCAGTGGAGGATATGTGTACAAAATTGTTTAGATTCAGATGCTTATTGCTTAACGATTGAAAACGACAAAAAAATTAAAAAAGGCGGGTGCAAAATAACAGAAAATGCTCCGTTTTTGCTTTTATTACGGCACGATAGCTGAAGTGTGTTGCTCACCTTCAGGTAATGTGCCATGATGATGATATGGTGTTAAAGCTGTCTTCTTTTAGTGATTTCCATAGTTATATTTGGCTCTGTGTTTATTTGATAGACTGCTGCCCATGCTACTACTACTACTACTACTACACCAGTACATTTACAGTTGCATCAGCAACGATGGGCGCGTGACAACTGAAGTTAGTTCATGTGTCGTAAAAGTTAAAATTGCATTCATGAATGTGCGACATCTTTGGCGGCATAAGGGGGTTTGCTCGGTCTCAAATGTCGCATTTACAAGGTCACAGCGCGGGTAGACCTACTCCATGGGAGTGGAACTCGGACCCTTCGGTCTAAGGACCTGAGGCGCTTTCAAGTCTTTGATCATCGCGGCCTGCGAAGGGTTGCTCATTTCAGATGGCAGCAGTGTGTCCGCAACGAGGATGAAAGTAGGCAACCACGTCATAATATTTTGGTACAACAGGCTCCGATCATCCGCAGTCACGCATCTGTGACTCTTGCTATCCGAACACACTGTGCAGTCGTATGCCGCTTTGAAGCCCGAGCCTGGTAGGTCATCCTAACCATTGTGGGCTCAAACACAATGCAAAACTAGCCATCAGATCGCTAGTGGGGTTCCGTATTGCCGTGTTCGCAGTCCCCCACTGGGGTCGTGCGCAAAGCATGCATTTACCTACATGGTAGTCCACTTAAGCCCACTCAACCCTCTACAAAGTCGACACACCTTTGGAAAACCCTGTGCCAGTAACCTGCGTGGAACTAGTTTCAGAGTAGGCACCCGTCGCGGAATGGAAGTTAGAACGCCTACGCGTCTCCATCGTCCACCATACTATCCATATAAGTGTTATTGCATCTACCGTCATTGGCTGATTTAGGCTGGCTCAATTCCAAGGACAATGCGCGTTTGGTGCGTCGGAAAGATACTGGATGCAATCCAAATGCCTTAAGAACTATGTTTACTTGGCCTACGGATGAAAATCAGATCCCTAGGGGACAATTCACTTGCACTATGGATGCAGTCAATCGGGAAAATGTGTAGTCTTTCGGGAGAGTGTGCATCTTTTGTCTGGTTTCGCGGACACTGCATTAGCCGAATCTATGCGTTTACTAAGAACCGTGTAACAGCGTCACGTGAAACTTTGCGGCTAAGCTATCGCGCCTAAAGAGAAGAGCGAAATTTATTACAAAACGTTCACTTCAAAAATAGTCCACTGCATAAGCTCCTCCATTTCACGACTATCCTTGCTCCATACTACCTGTTAAGCCAGAGGAAAATAGAAAAACAGAGCTGTGTAATAAGATGGTTGTTTACGTAACAGTAAATCTCAAAGTACAGCAAGAGGACGTGCGAGGCACTCAAGGTCACATGAACACAGAATCCAAATTAACAATCAATAATTATGGCAGACGGACGCACGCGGTTAGCCTCCAGCCATGCACATCATTTGGGTTCACTGATCCATTCGTTAAGAGGTGCCCCTCCTAACACAGCCCGTTTGAAGTCCACTGTCATATGATTTCAGCCTGGGGTTAACCTGGAGCAGCGTGACAGGAACTCGGCAACCATCAGGCCATCTTCTGTGTCGACAATCGGGTGAAGGAGAGGTTGTTGGGTTGATAGGCCTATCTTGCTGAGTAGCCTCTGTTTTTGGTGGTTTGAACTCGTCCAGAACTAATTCAAGAAGTGTAGTTAGGACATCTTCTCTTCTGACAATTGAGATGTAGCTGCTGAGTTGATTGATGTGGAGGACCCATCTGTCATCGCCTACGGCCACTGCATAACAGGCATGGCCATAGCTTTTTACAACCATTTCAGGTGTCCAAGAGATTTAGTTGGTCCGATAGTCTTTTTCGAACACTTACTGTCCAACTTCGAAGTGTCGTGGTATAACGCGATGCCTTCGGTTGTACTGGTGCTCCATTATCCAGTTTCTTTCGGGATTGGGTCTATCACGCGGCCTTATTAGATCAAATTTCGTTCGAGGCCTTCTGAACAAGAGTGAGTCTGCTGGGGACTTCCATTCAGGCGTAATCCTGTACGTTCACAGAAAAGTTTGTAGGACCTCTTGTATTGGTCCGTTCTCCCTCCGCTTTGAGCAAAGCCCTCTTGAAAGCATCCACAAATCGTTCAGCCTGCCCATTTGACTGTGGATGATAAGGTGAGTGCAAATGCTGCATGCCGTGTACCGCACAGAATTACGCAAAATGTGAAGAGGTAAACTGTAGTCCATTGTCGGATACTATTGTTTCCGGAAAACCGAATCGACTAAGTACTTCCCTGAGGACTATAATCGTAGCCGACGTTGATGTGTTCGACATTTGGAAGATCTCGAGCCATTTGCTGTATGCATCGATGATAAGTAACTAGTTCTGTCCTTAGATTGGTCCTGCGAAATTAATGTGAACCCTTGACCATGGTTTCGTGGGCTTTGGCCAGGAGAACAGTTCGCATTTCCGTGGCGATTTTGCTGCTAGGGCACAATTTGAACAGGAACGTGATAACTCTTCAAGTTGAGAATCCATGAACGGACAGTACACATAACTCCTCGCTAGAGCTTTCATCCTGTTGGAACCAGGGTGTCCAGTATGAAATTGATGTAAGACTGTAGATTGAAGTTCGGCTGGGATGACGACACGTTCAACAAACAAGATACAGTCTTCGACGACCGATAGTGTATTTCGTCTCTGGAAAAAGTGCTGTAACTGTGCGTCGGAAAATTTTCGAGGCCACTGTGAGTGGTAAAACGTGTTCACCTGTGGCAGCAGCGGGTCCCGTAAGATGGCGTCTCGAATCTGACTGAAGGATATTGGAAACTAGCTCACAGTATCCGAGAGTACACGGTTAACTTCAGTTTCGATTGAGACATTTGCAACGACAGTGTCTTCTGGTTGGTGCTGTTCGTCTAACAACCGTGACAGCGCATCGGCCTGACAAATGTCGCTCGTCGATCGGTACTTGATGTTGAAATCGTACCCCAGCAAAGTTGTCGCCCATCTCTGCAGATGATTGGCCGTATATACAGGAATTCCTTTCTTCGAGCCGAATATAGCAAGAAGCGGTTTGTGGTCTGTTAGTAAGGTAAAGTGACGACCATAAACATTTTGTGGAAATGTTTCACTGCAAACACAATAGCGAGCGCCTCCTTTTCAATTTGATTATACTTTCTTTCTGCGGCTGTCAGTGAACGAGCGACATGAGCGACTGGCTTCTCAGACCCATCTGGGAAAATGTGGGAGATGACTGCTCCAACTCCATAGCTGGATGCATCCGATGCCACTACAATTGGCAGTTTTGGATCGTAGTGCGTTAGCATCAGTTCTGAGCTTAGTAACAATTTGATGCTGTCGAAGGCTTCCTGACATTCGGTAGTCCAGACCCACGGGACGTCCTTCATCAGCAACCGGTTTAATGGTCCGCGTAGGTCGTGCATGGACGGCAGGTAGGTACCGTAATAACTCACCATACCCAGAAATGATCTCAAAGTCGCTATATCTTTCAGCAGAGACATTTCCTTGATCACCTTGATGTTTGATGGATCAGGTCTTCGTCCATTTTGGTCAATGATAAAGCCCAGGTATTTATTGGAGGTCATGAAAAACTCACACGTCCATTCGTAGGCGAAAATCACACTCGTTTATTCTGTCAAGCACGAGTTCCGTTCGTTGGTGTAGTTCTTCCTGGTTAGATCCCATGATAATGATATCGTCCAGGTATGCAGCGGCATAAGATATTCCCTGTAGAATCGTATCCATGATCTGCTGAAAGATTGCCGGGGCCAACTTAACGCCAAATAGTAGGCGTGTATACTGGAATAATCCTCTGTGAGGGTTAATCGTTAGCAACTCATGCGATTCTTTCGACATTTCAATCTGGAGATATGTATCTGACAAGTCCAGTTTGACAAAACACTTGCCACCGTTCAGATGTGCAAAAACGTCCAGGGAGGGGTAGAGGGTATTTGTTGTCTTCTAAGGCGGCATTCAGGCCAGTAGAGTAATCTGCACATAAGCGTATATTTCCGTTTGATTTCTTGACATTCACAATGGGTGTAGAGAACATTCGGACGTCGCGATCCCAAGTCCCCTCCATATTCCTTTCCCCTACCAAACATTACTACTATACTTCCCCATTTCGTCGTGAAACCCTATCTCCGCCTCGTTCCGCCCTGTGTTCCCTAAACTTGTTATCACCTCACATTCCCACGATCCTAAATTGCCTCTACACATTTGTCTAACTTTGTTTACGATTGTCAACACTTTGCACTGCACCGATTAGAGTCGTTTGGTGACCTTCACCCTTCACCGATTATACCTGTCCGCTGAACCGGACGAGCCTGCCTGACCAATTCCACCTTTGCCTATGTGAATCTGTGACTCAGTTGGTGAACGCGCACAAAACTTCACACCCCCTTGAGGCTTACCCAATCAGCATCCCTTTTTGGACCGGTGATCAACCAATCTCACCGCTGTACCCGTCTTATAAACACGTCGTGTACCTTAGTAGTGTGATTTCGTACAGCGCGCACTGAAGCTGGACTTGTCGACTCGGACCAAACGATTGTCATTGTAATTGTCCTGAGTTTGGAAGCATAATCGTTAAGGTATTGATTGTAAATGCTCACTTACTTATTTGTACACAGTACCATTATCCAGTTCCGGATTTGATGTTTCTTTGATCCCGGTGAAAACGCGTCACTCGAACTTTCCAAGCAAATTTTGTTGCTTACAATGAGGGCTGCTTATGAAGAGAAATTCGTCGGTTTGATAACTCCGGTTGACTGTAATCTATCAAGTTCTTGGTCGACGATTGAAACCACTGCATATGGGACTGATCTCTTCGGCCGGAAGACTGGCTTTACTTCTGGCCGCAGCGAAAGATTGGCCTTGGTTTTCGTGCACAATTTCAGACCATCTTGAAACACCTGCGAATATTTCCGTTGTAAAGACTCTGTAGTTGCGTCGCTTACTTTGTTGCACACGGAATTCAAGGGAACATCATATTCTCAATCCAATCGAGAGCGAGTAAGTTTAGATCGGGATGTCTTGTTATGCAGCATACCCCTATGAACTGACAAACTCTGAACATTACAGGACAATAGATTTCGCCGGCCAAGTCCAGCGATCCTGAAGCGTTGGTTGCAATCCGAGTTGTTCTTTGAACAGGTGGCGCACCGATTTTCTCCCATGTTGTCTCGGAAATGAACGTGATGTCTGAGGCAGTGTCAACTTGGAGGTGCACGGGCACCTGGTTCATAACCACTGTTACGAACCTGCGTTTTGCGGTCCCTGTATCGAACGTAGCAAAGACAGGATAAATTTGAAGTCGTTTTGTTAACGATGTGGGTACAAACGTCTTGGGAGATTTGGTGTAAGCGTTCTTGTTGAAAATAGTTGCACGGCAATGAACTTCCTTATGCCCCCGTTTGTTGTGTTTCTGACAAAGATGCTTCTTGAACGGGCAGAATTCGCCACATTGCCAGCATGCGGATGATGGACTGTTTGACTACACTGAGTTTTGGACGGTCGCTGTACTCCCGCGCTGGTTTGATACCGCCAACACATCCACGGGACATGGACTGTGGCCTTGGGCAATCATGTTCGTATCGTGCTTCAAGTTGATTAACCTCTGGCAGTCGGAAGTGATGGACATGAGATTGATGGACGGGTCCTGCACAATTTTATTAAGCAGCCTCATGCATATTCCGGCATCTTCGGGCGCTTGGAGACCATAAACGAAAAGTAAGGCCTTGAATTGGTCAGCTGACATTTCTTTTAGCCTGTAACGCTCGCAATGACGATTGACGGTACTGGCGTAAGTTACGAAATCGTCTGACGCACACTTAATGAGCTTCATGCAACTGTTTCGGACGCTGAATAAGGAAGACTGTTCACCAAAAATGTCATTAAGCATAGGTACAAGTTAGTCAAACGTGAAAACTTTGGGGCATTTTGACAAAATAAAATTGAGAAACTTGTCATGCTCCTTGGTTCCCAGCTTCCGCAAAAGCAGTCTGCACTTCCATCCGTCGTCAGCATCAGTGAATTCGGACCGGAAAATGGCTTCGTATCTTCCGAACCAAGATTCGGTTAGGCCGGCATCCGGGTCATACTGAAACGTACAAATGCTGTTCGCAATCGCATCTGCTGATGGTTGCTGCTTTTCATTGGTTGGTCTTGCTTGAACCGCAAAACGCTGAAGGATATTTTCGAGCAATCGTGGCTGGCTTTCTTCAAATTGCTTCTGTTAATGTTGAAGTGTTGCGGTAAGTCGTTCCACTGAAAACGACATAGTGCGTTGTATTTTCGTCGCATCCAATCAAACCATCCCACCTCCGTCGCCAGTTGTTAAGCCAGACGAAAACAGAACAGTGTAATAAGATGGTTGTTTGCGTAACATTAAGTCTCAAAGTACAGTAACAGGAGGTGCGAGGCACTCAAGGTCACATGAACACAGAATCCAAAGGTGATATCGTGGCCGTCCAACTTGAAAGTCGTGTGCATACAGCGATTCGGCGGGCATTCAACGCAGCCAAATTCTGCCCCATTTGGGAGACCAGAAAGTTACCTATGCCTCCAGTGAAGCCTACTCAACCGATCTCCGCCACAACTCATTGCATTTACCAATTCGTTTGTAACTGCGGTAGTAGTTACATTGGCAGAACAGATCGATCGTTGGGTAAGCGCATTGGAGAGCATATCCCAAAATGGATTGCCAAACTGTCGACACAAGAAGCAGGCGAACGAGAAAAGGTATCTAAGATGCCGGCCTCATCGATCGCCAAACACCTACTGGAATCAGGCCATCAGGTTGACCCCAGGTCAACATTTACAGTTATCTATCGTAATGACAACCCCAAAGTGTTGAGGTTTGCCGAAGCCGTGGCACTTAACCGGCATCGCCCTATCCTATGCGTGCAAAAACAATTAACAGTCTCCTTGAAGCTTCCTTGGGGCTCATGACCCTAAGATTAGGATGCTAATCTGTCATTGTTGTGTCTACGTAATTTTTCCCTTGTGACCAGTTTCAAATCTTCGATTTTTTCTGTCACGTGATTCATCTATCTGTTGTTAGTTTGCGAGTGAACAGATAACACGAAATGGTACCATCTCGCAATACCAGTCTTCTTATTGTCTTATTTAGAATCCAAATTATCAATCGATAATTACGGCAGAAGGACGCACGCGGTTAGCCTCCAGCCATGCACATCATTTGGGTTCACTGATCCAATCGTTAGGAGGTGCCCCTCCTAACACTGTCTGCTCGATGGTTGACCAATCGTCCGCATGCAGATCATTCGTCTAACCCACTATTCTGCGTGCTTCTTTACCTCGATAACCCAAGAACAGGGTTATTTGAAGAATTGACGGTGGGGCACACCATTTACCATCGTCAAGATCGCAATCGTAGGCTTGCGCAACATCCGTCAAGAATGTAATGTGCCCCGAGAAGATACTAGATACCGCGCATCAAAATACTGATGTGACATGGTGTCAATGCCGAGTGGATGACTGCCCTGTGCATTACCAACAGTAGAGAGTAGATCTCAGCTTGTCAACGTCTGTTGCCCACCGCATGCAGAACGGGCATGCAAGAGGTTTGTGAGAGAATTATCAGTATGATATCAACAAGCAAGCCATCGATTGTGCAGCACCAAGGTTGGATGCTTTGTGCTGTACAAGAGTAAGCTGCTGGTCCGAGGCACCAAATGACTAGTCATATCGATTCTAACAGAACAAGCCTACCAGCCAATTGCTACATGTGGGGTGACGACTTTAGTTACTGTAAGTTCGATTCCTTCAAGTTGCATACGGAGAAATCAACGTGAGAGTTCTGTGTTGTTAGAACGTGAGAGAAGATGATCACCACGCTGATGGTCAAGGTGAAAAGTTGGAAATCCTGTGGAGGGATTGCAAGGTGCGGCCTGCTGAATCCGAAACCTAGGCTTGTAGGCCACTAGAATGATGCGAAATCAGCACTACAGCTTTGGTTTGTAGGCTCAATAAATCGCTGAGAGTCGTAAGCAAACAAGTCGGAGAAGGCTGACTAGAAAGCACTACGCGACACATATTGTCATGTTTATTATGCAAGGGTGGAAGTTCGTCAACCTAATAATAGCTATACACAGTCATGTGAATCATCCACCAGGCGAGTAGTACGATTAAACGAATCAAGCCCTGCTGGACTTCGCTGACAATCACGTGGAGTAACAGAAAGTAGTGGTGGCTAGCGTCTGACCCGGAAATAATGGCACGCACCGAGAGGAATGGAGAAACGGAAGACAATTACGGAGACCGTGACGCCATGTCCAGTTCAGTTGATTTGTTCAATAAGTTCGGAGCGAAAAAATGTGAAATGAACTGACTCTGAGTAATAAATCAGTTTCCAAAGAGTAACTATCAAGGTCGTAGCGATGATATGCGAGACTCACGGCATGATCAATCACTGCGGACGTAAAGGTATCGGACTCGAGTGGAGTGCCCACTTTTAACTGGCGGTGATGTTCCAGTAGCAGAGTACGCAGCTTGGGCCAAACGGTGGATGGTACGTACAACCGACTGCATGCGCTACACTTTTGACCGGAATACTCAAACGCACTGCGGATAGTACCAAGCGCAGCAGCTTCTAGATCAGCTGATGTGTGAACAAAGTGGTAATTCTTTCCACCGCACTCTGAGCAAGAAACAAAGAAAAGAGTACATGAGAAGGGCAGGGATTCAACTTGCACAGTGGGGAGGCCGAGATAAACACGAAATGGAGAATACTTGACTGCAATAAAGGTTAACAGTTTTCGCATGTGGGTTAAAGTGTTCCCAGAATGCGACAATCCGGTTGATACACGATCGAGAATAAGGGATTTGATGAATGCGATGTGGAAATTCAGGAGCACTTATAGCGTTGAGGAGGACCAGAAATGTAATTGCGTATAAACTAGGGATGAGCCGAATCGCGATTGGTATGTTGAATGAAAGTGGGAAGATTCCTAAAAAGCATGCTGAGATGCACTAAAAATCAAACAATCGCGGGAATCACAAGGAAAAAGCAGACGAGCAGCAAGAGGAACATAATAACTGCAAACAGCAGATCAATTGCTTCAGTTGGGAAAGAAATGTTGAGTTGGTAACAAAATGTTGAGGGGGGAAATCGTGTTAAGGCAACACCGAGTCGTACAAAGCAAGAAGCGCGATGATTCGGATGTCATGTAATGCGCTCGCGACAGCTCGATCGCGGTAGAAGCGAAATAATAGATTGTTACAAAAAACGAGGGACTCCAAAGAGTGACAATTCGAGTGCCGGATGCAACAATCTCCAAGCTCTCCAAGGCTACAGGGTGGATATTGTAGGTGAACTATTGCCTAACCAAGTCACGAGTAACTTGCACACCAGTGGGATGGAAGGCGCATAATGCAGCGGTGTGATGTGACACGAGTTTGTTTAAATGAATACGTAGATAACGTGCACGTTTTCCAAAGACAAGAGACGGCTAATAAACGTGGAATCGCCAATTCCCTTGCTTTATGACAGTGTATGGGACATGGACAATCTTGTTGTTGAAATCGAATGTAAGGATGAAAAAAGGACACACCGCTGAGAAGAGGCACGCGTCTATTGGAAACCCCAGAAAGGATGCTTGTATTCATCTTACACTCTTAGGGTGTGCTTTGGGAAACGCAGAGGAGTCCATATTTGCTAAGCAGAGTGAACGCGTCGACCACTCGTTAGCTGAGGAGCTTGTAAAAGAAAGAACCCTTCTCCAAGTTGAAACTATTAATTCGGAATCACAGACCATTGCAACCGAGATAGTACGCTCAGAGTGTCCGGCTTTGTTAAACTAACGAAGTAGGCTGACGATCCGTAGAGGCGGGAAACAATAACGCCAACGTTCGATCATCTGGAAGTTAGAGTACCGGCGACCGCTAGTAAGAAATGGAAGTCACTGATGCACCCTGAAGTCGGCCGACAGAGCAGATCGATAGGCAGAAAAGCCATTAGAGTAGGACAGTTGCAGTGGAGACAAAAATCTCCGATCGATGCTTTCCACAGAGAACTAAACGCGAAACAAAGAAACTGGAGCAATTCTTAATCTGTACAGGGTTCGTGAGGAAAACTGGATGCTAAGCAAACCCTACTAAGGCACTGCGAACGCTAAAAGGGAACTGAATGACGAGTAGCTCTCGGCAAGAATGGTGTCCCCGAGAAGTTCGTCACCACACTGCGCGCTCTCTATAGTCTGACCACGGGCAGGGTTAGGGGTTATGACAACCTTTCGCCTACCTTTGTGGTCTCCAGTGGAGTTCGACAAGGATGCCTTATCTCTCCGTTCCTATTCAACTTTGCCATCGAGGATGTCTTGAAGAACGCTCTAGGCGATTCGTTGAACGCTGGCGTTGAGCTCCTCCCAGGTAGTCGAGTTGTTGATTTGGATTATGCTGATGATATCGTCTTGCTGGGTGACGATCCACACGTCGTCCAACTTGCATTAAACCGCTTGGCGATTGAAGCATCAAAGTACGGTATGTACTTTTGGCCATCCAAATGCAAGCCTCTCTTCCAAGACTGGCAGGTGCCTCTGCCTGTACTCACTCTTGCTGGTGAGACGTTAGAGATTGTGGAGAGCATTTGTCTACTTGGGAAGTTGAATCACTGCCGGCGAAGCTTTTGGAGACTAGATTTCGATGCGCATATATATATATATATATATATATATATATATATCGCCCTTGGTTCAGTTCAGTTCAGTCGGACAATTATGAACCGGGCACCGAAGTGAGGTGGACGCAGTTACCTCGACTCACGTCGCCATAACGACAAGAAAATGAAGATGAATGCAAGTAGAGTGGGATCAGGACAGAAGAGCGCAAAACTAATAGGAATGGGATGAAAATTAACAAATGAATGCAAGAAACCGAATGCAGGAATGCCAGTGTGCGCGACTACGCCTTGTCTGATAGGGTATGTAACCACTGGTGGGGACAATCCCGGGGCCCCCATCCATGAAAACCACACGCATCAGCCTGACCAAGTCTCATAGTCAATTTCTTCACGCCTTTATTCCACGTCATGGACAAGCCACCTGGTGGTTTCGCCCAACTTAGTGCAGCCGCGTCGTATAATGCCGGAGGAGAACGTCGGTCGACGGGCATACAGAGGACACGACCTAACCAACGTAAGTTTAAGCAAACACTCGAGTGAAGCATCAGAAAACTTCTTGCCAAAACTAACTGGCGGACCTTAGCATTGCTCACCCGGTGTTCCCACCAGTTGCAAGCGATAGACCGCAAACACCAGTGACTAAACACGGCCAAGCGTTTAATGCCTACTTCGCGAATTGGCCGGGTCTCTGATTCACACAGTAGCACCGGTCTTGTCGCAGCGTTATAAACCCTACCTTTCCCTGGCAAACTGATATCCCGCTGTCTCCATCTATGGAGGTGTTGGAAGTTTGGTTACAGAGGAAATAAAACTAATGCTTCGGAGATCTTCGCATAAGGTTCGCTGATTCTTCTTGAAGATAGGCACGACAGTTGACAGTCGTCAGTCTGAAGATACCACTTCAGCGTCCCAAATCGTCTTAAAAAGAGAAGGAAGTTTAGTCGACAGTCACATCCATTTTTACACAGATGGGTGAAGGTCGCCGGGTCCAAGAGCCTTGTTTCATTTCAACACACAGAGCTCGTGTCGAATCTCCTACAAGGTGTGACATCAACATCCCACGTTGGCTCGAGTGATTCAACAAGCGGCAGTATAGCAGCTGGTCTGTTTAACTGCTTTTACGAATGTTCCGCCAAACGGACAAGTCGACGAGGCTGAGAATGGATCAATTGTCCATCTTTCTCCGTTATCGTCTCACTAACGGATAATTTTTCTCGGGCCCGTGTTCCGTATGAGCTGGAAGTACATTCAGATGGTATCAGTAGCACTCGCTCCCTGCACCTCACGTTCAATTGCCATCTACCAACGTTCCCGGTCGATTCAAACCCTCTTCATGAGTCGTCGTTTCAGGGCGCTACGGACATGCTGAAACACAATACCTGTTGGCAGTTGTTTCCGTGCGTCGATCAAACTGATCGAAGCCTCGAGGATCCGTTCACAATTCGGATTTCTCAAGTTGTGCGCAAAGCAGGCGTCAAAGAAATACTTCATGGCACACTTAAGATGATACCAGTCAGCGTACTGCTTACCATCCTCATTCATCACTGACAATTGGTGGGCCAGTTCGTAATGATAGGGTTGAACGGTGGACTACGAGATTGTTACATGTAGGAAGGTTAGAAGTTAGGTGACTTCATGATACGGGAAGATTGAGCGCTAGGCGTGCGCCGATTGGAACATGGTGGGAATCCACGCATGTGCTCCAAATTGGCCGACAGTCTTGGACTGATGTGCGCCACCTGTAGCTGATGGCAATATGGTGAACTTGGGTCCAGCTCATTGGGAAATTCGGTGGGCACAAGGTGACACGATATGAATGTTTGTGCTGGAAAGCAATGCTACTAAGGTAGAGCTGTTGTCGGCGCACAGTTGTAGGAAGCGCTCGATGTGTATCGACTCCGAAATGGAGCCCCAGGTGTCTGAAAGAATACACTTGGGAATTTAAGTCGCCAGAGACAAGCAAGAGGTCAGTGTTTATCACCGTAAGAAGTGATAAGAGATGACGATTGAAATGGTGTTTCATATCTTCCGAACTGCAGTCAGAAGAGATGTAAATACACATTGTCTCCAGATTGTGCTTAATAACCACAATAGAGGTTTGAAATAGAACCGCACATAAGCGGTTATTCATCGATATCCTATCGAGTAGATTAGCATGTTTGTTGAGGATGATACGGACACCCTAAATACCTTGAGCCGTTGACTCGGTATCATCAGAGACGTGAAAAGTGTAATCATTGTCAGCAGATTTAGATGCAGGGAGTCGAAGATTAGTCACACCGCTGTAATCTTGCATGCGCCTTTCAGAGACACAGTACGCATTAATACGAAGAGATGAAGAGTGAGTTAGTGCTACCTGTTGGCCGACCTGGTCCAGAGTGCGGACGTTAAACGAAGCAATATGAAATAGGACTAGTGGATTGATAGACGAGTTACAAGTATCGATGACATCAGTTGCGAGTTCAGCGGAAGGCTTTCGCTCAATGGACGGGAAAGAGAAAACAAAAAGAAGGAGTACTGTTGAGGGCGACGAGACGGCAGATGATACTCTCCGGATGCCCGTTCCGAGAGTGGCTTTATTCGAGGTCCCATACCATTAGCCTCTGACTCAACAATCTGTTCCTAGAAGGCAGTGGGGGGCATGGAGGCTGGCTTGAAGGATTCCGCCCGGAGAGTTTGGCTCAACAACCTTGTATATATATATATATATATATATATATATATATATATATATATATATATATATATAATACACAATCTGTGGGACAGATATTGTGCCATCGGAATCATGGCTGAATAGGAAAACAATATGAATAATAAGAAAAGAGCAACAAGAACTGCTTTCTTGTCTATTTTACCACTCAGTTTTTGAAATTTTTTCAGTTTGTTCTTTTTTATGGGGAGGAAGAAGGGACGCCGCAACAAACCGATGAACACGTCCGCCATTGACATCGATCTTGAGCCATGACTTCCAAGTTCTTCAACCAGCAAGTATCCGCATCTCTCGAACCCCAACCAGA